GAGAGGGAGAAAATAGGATCATTACAAAAATCGTCATGGAAAGAAATACGGGAATGGAAGGGGCATCATAATCGAGTGATTTACACTAAAATAAAAAGAGATGTACCGGAAAGTATGTTAATCATACCTAACAATCATTATGTATAAACTCATCATTTGGTTAATTTATATTTAAAAGAAGAAAAGGGAAAGACACATTGGTTTTTACAAGCAAAGACGTCAAAGTTCACGTGATGATACACAAATATACACAATAGACGCCACTTCAATATCTTTCACGCTAACTGCGCCGCCCTGAAAGACCATAGTTGCTCTGAGTCTGACCAAGCAACATATTGTAACGAGCCAACGCATCTCGACCCCATTGCGACTCTTACGTGCTGAATTATTTGTTTTCAATTCAACCGTGTATCAATTATTCCGAATCCACGATTGTTGCTCGTTCAGAGATTAAAAAAAAAAAAAACAGTTATTAGAGCAATAAAGAAACATTATTAATGACTAGACAGTTGTTAGGGTTTAAATCAGCGTTTGGATGGTACTTGTGTCTTTCATGATCGCCATGGGTCTCGTTATCAGCCAATGTGTCTCTGCAAGTCTAAAGCGAAACGGAGGCGACGCGCTATTTGAAAGAGAGGGAGTGGGAGATTTAATCGTGCATCATTGTGCAAAGAATAATCCACGGTTTTGACGAAATGTAGGAAAATGGGCTTTACATACTAAAGAGTAGTTTAGAATGATGACAAAACCCGCAGGGAATGAAACGGGGGAAATTAGGCAAATAAACAGAGATGAGCAGAGTAAAACAAAAAACAGAGTGATGTCGATTAAGAGAGAACTAAAAAATCGAATTGAATATATTTGGTAAATCCACAATTCTACGGATTTCTTATTTAAACATTTCCTCGTGAAGCGAATGCATTTTATTTAGAGCATGGCACAATAAAATGTCACAATTATTTCTATAACGGTAATGCGGTGTATAAACTACTGTCTAGTGATGGGAATGGATGAGATATCATCCACATTCCAAGCTAATTTCATATTCTGTCCTGTCTGCGGGTGTTTTCTTTGAATACATTTTGCGAAACCTCATTCGCGGAAGACGCTCCTAACAATGGTTTGTTATTCCACCAAAGGACTGTCTAGGGCCGTCCAGAAATACGCCAAGAATGCGGTTAAACTAACTTGAATCTAAGTCGAAAGGCACGTCGTCGGATCGATGTTGTCTACCTTCTGTCAACTACTCCTCGGCCTATCGTAAAACACCCCAAAGCGAGTCCATTACGACTTTTGGTTGTCATCGAACCCTTCAGCAAACATCAAACACCAAGTTTACAGGTGTCTTGAGATGCTGGATCTCGTCTCCAAGTGAATATTTGATTTGTTGTGTTACGTCAGCGGTGCTGTCTTGGAAGAAAAAGCCCGCACTGTAAGTTCTCGTCTAGCCGCCGACCCTATCTAATTTATCAATAATTAAGACAACTCACGTTCAATATTTCATATTGATTCGACCTCATCTTGTCACTTTGGAAATGTCAGGATGAGCTCGTGAATGACTTTGATCATAGAAGACGTCATTCTGAAGATAGAAGGTGTCTAAGAAGCTGACGAGATAAGTTCAACGTCCAATAATAGAAAGGTCGGTCGAGTTACCTATGAGACCATTTTTAATCAACTTTCAGGAATATTCCTACACCACTTCTTGTCCAATTAATCCTTACATGTATAAACTTTTTACATGATCTACACTTTCCGATTGATTCTACTTAGTATTTTTTTTCTATTGCAGTGTATGAATTTACAGTGTACATTGAAAGGAGAAAAATTTCACTAATCATTATCAACACATTTCCAAGTTGTTGTAATGAGTAATACCTGTTCATGAACCGTTGTGGTGACTGGTGAAATGGTGAGGCACCATGCCATAAAACTCTCAATATGAGTTATTGTGATTCTTTGGGGTGGGAAGCGATTCTGGAGTGTCAATTCATTTCGAGAAATGATGGGGGGAGGAACAAAATGAAAATAGTCTGAAGCAAATGCTTCGTAGGAGATACAGTTAATGCTGTGAACATCAGGGGCAAATATCCTCCAAGTGGCGTAGATACGAGAGGGCACGTGGCCCAAATAAAAATGCTGAAAAACAAGAATCTATGAGAATGGCATAGAGAAAGAGAGAGAGAGAGAGAGAGAGAGAGAGAGGGTGGATAAGGTAACTTGATAATAAAATAGACACGTTCCCTTCCCACACTATCCCAACTCGATGTTTTTTTACCATATTTACTCATTAGATTTATTCATTAACCGAGAAAGAAAGTTAAAGATGAAGTTGAGTTCTGGTCATGCGATTGCATTGTGAAAGGAACGGTGTGGAATCGACCAGAACAGGTTGATCATCTAGCATATAAGAATTTGTGTGTATTGCAAGGTTCTGGAATCATCAAAATGATAAGAAATTTGGCCAATCTAGGTAAAGTAACAAACACTGTACACAGATAGACGTATATGGGACTACACGAACACGTGGCGTAAAAAACCTGCCCCCCCCCCCAAGTTTTACGATGAACATGACATATTTAGAATATGAAGGCATTTGAAGAGCCATGCTTTTCAGGGAACATGTCTTATCTGATGTTCTTCCACACTTGCATAATAAGAATGATAAAGTTCACAAATTATTGTTCACCTCTTCCCAGAACTCAACCTTCTCTTTAACCCCCTTCCACATCCCCCCCCCCCCCCCGACATCGCTTCTTCAGTGACTAAACTCACGCTACGCGTCCCTCCATCTTTCCCCAGTAGAATTCTAATGTAAGAAACCTCCTTTTTCAGAATGATTGACTTATAATAAGTAAGTATATTATGCTCATTAAACATCCGCTGTATGTTTTTAAAGACACTTAGAAGTGGGCTCTCACGAGGGAATTTGACATAATTCGGGTTTTCCCTGATAAGAGGATTTGTCAGTCATCAGGATTAGCCTTCAATTTGTTGACCAACAGACCTTATGTAATATTCTGCATTTTCCATCAATCACCCCAAATGGAAGAGTCTGTATCTTACATTTCCCTCACCCAAAGACTCTCCGAGAGACTTGGAGGTGGTATATCTTGATGGGACTTCCAAGTTATGGTGTCAGCAAATTATGACCTTTACTGTACCTGGAAACAGACGACCACCTCCCTTTAAGAGGAGGGGAATGGGGGCAGACGATGTTGGCCGAAGGAACAAATGATGTTGGTCCCCCGACTGTTGCCATGTCTGTCCATGAATCACTCTCCCATGGGATTGGTACCGTATTTGACAAGTAATTAAGATCTTATTACACGGTGGGCAAAGTAGCACGTTAACCCCATACATGTATTACACGTGTGTTGGCGTTATGAGGTTCGGGGTCACTGCTCGTTCATTATTTAATCATGGGTTTGACACAGATTATAATATTTCCAACATCAACAGCAGAGGAAGTACCATTTTGTATCAAATAATGCTCGTTGCACAAGAGGCATTCTCGATAATAATGATAATAATTATATTACTATCAATAATAATAATGATCAAAATAATAACGTTGATATTAACTTTTTATTGCAACATTTACAATAAAAACATCACAGTTGCATTGTAATACGCCTACATCGATTCGAAAGTGATATATATATATATATATGTATATTCAAATTGAAATTCAAAGAGGGAGGACAGCGATTGGGAACTTTGACAGACATACGTATTATTATGCTCTCATTTTTTTTCTCACAACTGTACATGTATTTCTGAAAGAGTCACCAATGTTGTTTGCGTTTGTCAATTGTCCCTCTCTGAAGAAAAGAGATTAATATTTGCCAAAGATCTTTAAACAAAAAATTATTACATAATCTACATCTATCTGGTAAAAACTGCACAAAGATGTATTTCATGTCTGAATCAGTATCAGGTAGACCTACCAATTCCTGTCCCGGTCAAAAATTCGATCCGTGGGAGTGCATCGTATGAGCAGGTGATTCCTCTCCAGGGGTATTTACTCTAACAAGTATAATTCTTTCCCGGCATTAATTCAACCAGTATAAGGCCTTGTCAGTAGGGTCACTGGACACTGGACACGGTGCAGGATTATCAGAGCGTAATCGATGTTGACCTCATTAGTTCGCTACCTATGCTTCACTTTAATTTCATCTTTTCCTTTCTTCCGAAGAGGTGATTACGATGACTCCTTGGCTGGCAATCATCCGTGTTGATGCCTGCTCCTGAGAGTGTGAAAATGGCTTTTCAGTGTCAGCCCCTCTCATTTAAGATACAAAAACAATTAAGGGATTGGATGTATGTGTGATGGAAAAGAATTTTGATATTTTCCTCAAGTGTTATCTTGAAATATGATGTCGTCAAAAGTTTTAGGCAATTGGTACTCAAATGTAGGACTATGGTAAATGTTGATAGAACACATTTAGATGTTTGAAACTGTGTAAAATGTAATGGACATGGATAGCATCTCTGGATGTATACAACATGTATAACAGAATTTCATTGGATAGAATGAAATATATCATTGTAATCATATTTTGTAATCATATTTGATAATTACTTCCTATACATAGCTCATGATATGCCGCGTGGTATTTCCATACATAATGTTAACCCTGCATTACGTTGGCAAACGATTATGATGATCACAACGTTCACGGAACTCCTCTTTACTTCGTCCAAGAGTGGAACACGTAGATCGATTTTTTCTTCTTTCCAAAGGACATCAGAGCCGTGCTGAAATGCAAATCCTATGAGCTTCACCACATCTCCATTAACATTAGTCAAGTGTTAATTATTCACCAACAGAAATTTGAATACATTTAATTTGTACCATGTTCAAAAAAAGTTTAGTAGTCACGTGCAACAAATTGCTACCCAATCGAATACATCAATTAGTACATCTATTTATTGCGATAATGACTTTAAAATGTTGTAATAAATATATTCTTATTTGCTTTTCATTTTTCCATTAGGTACGTCATTTTCTGGCAAAAGGGGTATCAGAGCACAGACAACGTAGAGGGCTCGGCGACTTCAAAGCTAAAAGGGGTTGCCTACACAAACATATCCAATTCTTCCGACCTCAGAACACCCTTCCCAGAAAGATACACCAGAGTGTGGGACGTCTCAGACTACGTCATACCTGCACAGGTAATTATCACTATTAAACAAGATCACAAAGGCTTTCGAGAAGTCAACGTAAGAGCGATGTCAATACACTATCGTATCGCCTGTAGAAATCATATTCCGATAATTATGTCCTTCGTTTCGCATTTAGATGAATTACGCATTGCATTACATTAGTCTTACTTTTGTTAAAGTTTTTGCGATCGTATGATAATTTGTTTAAATTTCTATAAGTAAAGGCATAGTAATAATAGGTTGACAATGGTGAAAGAAATGTGTTAAAGGTACTTGAACATGAATAAACATTTTGCAGTTTTATCGCAAACTTTCAGAAGTACATTAAATATATGTATCATTCACTTTTATTGTTCTTAATCCAAATTGTTCACCATAATTATTTTCAGTTCTGTAAATTCAAAAGGTTTTAGCTTTAAACAGCAATATTAAATATATGGTACAAAATATGAAAATATGATTGAATGAAAAATCATAAAGCTCAACCATATTCAGCCGTCATATATTCAGATATTGATGTAATGTCTCTTTTTAATTGGCAATCCTTGTTAGACTTTATCTTATACTTTATCACCACAACGTCCAACTTTTAATGTGTTTTGCTTTTTTGCCATTTCTCCCTAGCAAACAAACGGGTTTTTCGTCATGACAAATATGGTTTTATCACCCATGCAATCGAGAGGCGCCTGTCCGGAAGTGAGTATGACTTTCTCTTTCTCATTCGATTTTATCTGTCTATCAATCTTGATGGATCTCTCTTTCCTCTCCTTTCTTTTATACTTTCTCATTTGTTCATGTTATATTATAAAGCAGCATCTGAGGAACTAACACTTCAACAAGCTCTGCTTCAAGTTAGTTCCTCTTTTCTCGTGCTTTTTCTATTATATTTGTCGTTTCATTGCATATTTTTTGTGAAATAATTATTCTTGTATTATGTTTTGCATGAGATATAAAAATCATTTGAATACTTTCTTCATCTATATTTCGTACGTCTTTTTGTTTCCTTCTGTCCGTCTTTCTCTCCGTAACTATCTTACATTATAACCAATTGAAATTCTCTAATTATTGTAAATATCATTCGTACTTCTTTATCACGATATCTACCTGGAAACTGTAAGCGATTATGATGTTAATACATTACAATGCATGTTTGCCAAAAGTGAAAAGTCAATTGCATTTATAAAATGCTGGTTGTCTCGGATATTTGACATAATGGTGTAAACGTTAGGGAAACTGTTATTTAATGTTTGAAGTATGAAGTACCATATATCAAGTATGTTTTCCCAAACGTGGTTCGTTAAATCCGACCTCCAAATCAGTAAAAAACTATTTAAACATGTAATGTTACATAATAATTATCTCTGAAATATTGCTATCTTGCTAAAATTATGCCCTCATCCATTCCACCCGCCCCCTCTCTCTTTCTCTCTCTCTCTCTCTCTCTCTCTCTCATTTCCTCCATTTTTTTATAGGATCCCGAGATTGATAGAGATGCATGCACGACTGATGTGGAATGCAAACCAGACGAGGGCATTATAACAGGCAATGGTGAGTAAAAACGAGTTTTCAATATTTTTTTGCCGGGCGCTTACCCCTCCCCCCCCCTCCCCCCCCCCCCCCCCCCCTTCCCTCACAACCGCCTTTCTATGCCTAATCATGAGGTATCATCACATCGTATTATTCAATGACATAGAGTCTTTAACTATTTTAATGATTTTGTAGTAAATAAGGGAGTTTACAGATACAATCTGCGCATGGGCAGATAAAGGTCATTTGTACCATAAAGGTAAAACCCACAGAGATGAATACTGGATTTGCGCTCATGAAAATTATGTAACATTATTCATGTATGCACCAACGGTACATTCTACGATACGCAAGTGGAAGTTTTCTTTTCAAGAGGGCTAACAAAAGGTATTCATGAAGCACATCTAGGACTTTGGCAGTTATTATTCTAATATGCTCAAAGTGGAACCTCTCCATGTGTAAAAGATCTGTGGATATTTGGGGTCATTTGTACCATGTGCTATCTGTAAACTCCTTTTTTTCTGCGTAATCCTACCCGAGGTTTGAAAAGTAGGTTCATATCTTCAGTAGATCCAATTCGATATAATTTCTATTGATGACGTCTGGGTTGACTGATATGAATAAGGGAGTTTACAGATAGCACATGGTACAAAATGACCCCAAATGTCCACAGATCTTTTACACATGGAGAAGTTCCACTTTGAGCATCTTAGAATAATAACTGCCAAAGTCCTAGATGTGCTTCATGAATACCTTTTGTTTGCCCTCTTGAAAAGAATAATTCCACCTGCGTATCTTAGAATGTATCGTTGATGCATAAATGAATAATGTTACATAACTTTCACGAGCGCATATCCAGTATTCATCTCTGTGGGTTTTACCTTTTTGGTACAAATGACCTTTATCTGCTCATGCTCAGACTGCAACTGTAAACTGGCTTATTGATGAGGGTGAATCAGAACCAGACCACCTGCTCCCGGACAAATAACCCCGGATAAACAATCTCTGACAATTGCTCCCATGGCAATTACACCCGGACAAGTACTCCCGGACAATTATCCTCTAGGACTATTACTCTATAGACAACTACCTCCTGAAATCTAGTGGGATATACTCAGACGCCTACCTCGAAAAAATTTAGATTTAAGGACGGTTTTCCGGGCTAACTGTCATGTAGAATAATTGTCTGGTTGTAATTGTCCGGGAAGTTACTGTCCTAGTAGTTCAAGAAGGGAAGAACAGTTAAGGTTTTCGGTTAGAATCCGGAAACCTTCTTCTCAGTTGATTATTTCATAAAGTTCAATATAGTGTCACGAATCTTTGGTCCTTATTGATGTATTTCTGTAATTTTTCGTTTGGGTGAGCAAACAATGAATTACACATCAAAGAAAATTCGAAGAAACTTTACACCGCTTGGCGTTCATTTAGCAAATATATTTGATTACACTATGATACACTGGCAGGGAAGTTGATTGGTGGAGGTAAATATAAGACCCCATCCACGCCATGGAGACCGACAACAGACGGAACAAAAATTATATTTCCCGACCTTTCGCCAACAATTGGATGGTTTGTAGTCGGTTTAGCGTCTGATTGGCGGTGTGAACGGGGCATGAAGAGAAAGACAATAACCTTTTATTTTTATTTTTTCTAGCAGGCCTGTATTAAGTGTATACTCCAGGTGTAAATTTTCAAACAAAAGGAACTAAAGTGGCACCTGTTTATCGGTTGGAAAATATCAATACAAGCTGTGTTTGTAAACGCCTGGGTTAAGAGCTAGGCTAGACTGTATGGCTATAATCGAACACACGGGCATTATTATGAATACTTTGAAATTGGGTGGGTATCGTTGTTTTGTTAATGATTTTGCGTTAGTGATATATTTGTCGTAGACTACGGATTATTGCTTGGCGATGTGGGATCTAAAGTAAAATAATGTATTTTGAGAACCTGGATCGTTAGGAAGTTGTTTCGGAAAAATAATTTGTTATACTTTAGGTTTGATGACGCAAGAGAGAGGCCGGGTTATCATTGTTCCTGGAATTTCAGTTTTTCCAGACACTAAGATTATACATAGCTCGTTCTTAGAGTTGCTAAATTCCGTCTAGTTCATTCCAATGAATGGCATACAGGGGGAAAAGTTATCTGCATTTAAAAGTCGTTTAGAATTCGGTGATCAAGAATGAGGATATAAGAATAAATCACGCTCATAAATTAAATTAATCAGAAAATTCATCTGAACTAATTTCAGATAAACATGACGTAATTCCTAATCTATCCACATGAATCATTGCGGTGGAATCAGTCAGTTCTGCTACGTCATAATAATAGCCGGAATAAAGCGGTGGGAAATGTGAGACCCATTGCAGACGTAGAAGATGAATGCATTGATAGATAAACACTTGTTATTAATGTGTGGCCACACACGTGCCTGTTTTAAAGTGGCGGAAACGGGATGCTGTTTTTAATGGTAACGCCTGTCTTTCGGGTCTGTTCAAATCCTTATGGCTTCTGACATTGCGAATACTCTAGGCAGGATTAACGTGAACACTTCCCCGTCCTGTCTTTGAGGAAAACACTGTTGGTCAAAATATAATAACCGCAATACATTGTCTTGTCTTGTATCTTTAAAGAATACCCATCGATCTAATTCATGGTTGACCTGAGTGGGATTAAAGAAATTTTTCAGTGCATACGTCACCCAACTGATAACCAATCCTTACCAAATAAAGTGCAACCTTCATCGTCTAGCTATACACGTCTTGAATTGACTGTTGTATGAGAACGCAAAGCGACAAATTTGGCAATAAAATTTCCCGCCTAATCGAACTGCCCTGACCTTGGGGGACGCCAATTGAAACCCATTTGTATAGCACGTCATGCATGTGTTAGCTGAACTTGGAGAGAGTGTGAGAAGTAAAGGGGTAAGGAAAGAGAGAAAGAGAGATTGAAAGAGAGGAAGAGAGATGAAGTATTACACGTCTTGCCTGTGTTAGCTGAACTTGGAGAGAGTGTGAGAGGTAAAGGGGTAAGGAAAGAGAGAAAGAGAGACTGAAAGGGAGCAAGAGAGATGAAGAGGGGGAATTGAGAGAGATTGAGAGGTAAATGGGTAAGGAAAGAGAGAAAGGGAGATTGAAAGAGAGCAAGTGAGATGAAGAGGGGGGGGGATTGAGAGAGATTGAGAGGGGAAAGAGAGTGAATCAGCTATAAAAAGAGAGGAAAGGGAAAAGAGAGACAGGGGTAATAGGGAGATAGAAAGGTGGGACGAGAGGGAGAGAGACAGAGACAGAGAGAGACGGAGAGAGACAAAGAGACAGAGAAAGAGAGAGAGAGAGAAAGAGAGAGAAAGAGAGAAGAGGGTAACACATACCTGTAATAACAGAAGACGGGACTGAACCACGTGTCAAGGCCATTATCACACTCGTACTAACCCCTACTTAAAACCGATACCGAAGCCTGAATATCGATTGCCCTCCAGTCCGCCAGACGATAGGTCTGTTTTATGCAGACTTTTCGTTCTATAACGCTCAATTCTGCTTTCCGATGCGATAGGTTTTCTCCATGCCTACACTTTGTCCGTATGTCCATGAGCTCCAAAGGAAATGCAGCATATATGCATGTTAAACCGCCTAAAGTGCCGGCAAACCGCTCGACGCGATAACTTTGTTTTGAGTTTTGTTGTTGTTCAAGACTGTTGATTCAGTATTTCAATCATGTCCGCTCTATGATTCGTGACACGGGCTTCGTCGGTCACATGTCCTCGTCACACATTTTTTCCCCCTTTTAGTTCATACCTCAGTCACACCGATTGACCAGACTGCCCCAAACTTACCGATAACCGACAAACATTTCCCATTCGGGGTAAATTAAGGTTCCTCGGTTGTTTGTTTGGTATTGTTTTGTATTGGTCTATTATAACTCTGACGTCGTTGTGACAGGCAAATCACAATAATACATTTTTGAAGGGTTATCAAAGAAGTATGCACAAAAAGGTTGTTGGTGTGATATTTATGGAGTTTTTCAGGGTTAGATTTCCCTTTTTTCATAACAATAAAAATTACATATATAGGAAGATGACACCTAGTAAATTTGATTACTCGGGATGAATATTTTAGTCGGTACGGGCTTCACGAATCAAATCCTCGCATTAATTAAAATGTATACGTAAATCATATCTTGCGGCTACACGATAGATAAAACATTTTGAAATTTGGTTAAAATCGACCAAATTCAGGTAAATCTAAAATACAATTTTGACTTAAAACTACATTACTACAAAACTACATCTGGTTTTTTATTAAAATTTTTGTCGGGGTACAACCAGAATAACTTTTCGTACAGTTATTTCCACGTCTTTCTTCTTGAACATAAAACAAGGCTGCAAAACAAATTTATTCCTGAAAAATATCATTTGTTTCCTCATATTGTTTTGTTTTTGTCTTGCTACAAAAATCTGATATGCTCAGAAGGTAGACTTGATTAGTTCAAATGGGTTCAGGAAAGGCTTATTTGATTCATGCAGCATGTATTTCAAAAAATCAGTATCTCCTTTCCACTGCAATTTAATCAGACGAACTATCGCCGGAGTTATCGCTCCCGTCATGCGTATCGATCGTCGATCGCTCAAACTCGCTTGCTCGTACATTAATGTTAATCAATCTACTCGGGAGAGCATGCGGCGGTTTTCTACAGAACAACTTTGGCTGGAAAACGACTAAGGTGGTTCATGTTTCGTAATTCAACCAGACGGTGAGGTATCCGTTTAGCTGAGAATGGCGCCGATTTAGGAATTAAAGAAATGCCGGGGCGTAACCATTCAAAAGATTAATGCTTTGAATACTATCAGTTTCATGATCTTTGGGGGAATCGTACGTTGAAAGCGAGTAAACTTTGTAAATTCTCAGGGATATGCTTATGAATCTTATTAGGAATGTCTTGCTTTTACACAAGATTCCCCTTTTAAAGAAATGTTGCATCTGCAGATTTCATGCGCATAGAAAAGACACCATTTGGTGTTTACC